AAGCATAAGTTACGTAGATTATGTTTGTAGTATTATTGACGACATGGATGATCTATATTTCTGCATTGTGTATGTCAGCAAAGCATGCTTATAATCTTATTTTAAAAATTATCATGGGATTTGCAATGGGGAAATTGGTGAAAGGATCACTAAGGAGATTTTCCCATATCTTTCTGGAACATTGATTACATGAATTTAACGACAAAAGTTTAGCATTTTCACACAAAAATATCAGTTAAAGATATCATTGGTTTCGGTTTCTGAATGATCTATCGGCTTCTTAAAATTAGTTTGGTGAATTGTACCACTTGTCGAGCAACCTTAAACCTTGGTAACTTAACATAATTATACTAACTCAACATTGTCGTGTTGCTTACACTAAGTCGTGGTTCCTGGTTTTATATTTTATACAAAAATAATGTGAACATTTGTATTATACCATCATGACACCTCTTCACCTCAAATCTCGCAGCTTCACCGGCCTACCAATAAGATGTGATATACAACACACCTAGTGAATCAAATCATATCTGTGTTAGAATCTATAAATTAACTCATTGCAGAAATTTTATATCTTGTTTTTACTAATTTTCTTTTAAGTTTTGAATAAGTTGTTGAGTTGGATAAACTTTCTAGTGTGATTGTATACGGAAGAAAATAAGAATGTATAAGAGAAGTACAAGTCAAAGTTCTTTGATCCTTGCCGGTCAAAGTCGACAGATTTTAACGACTAACATTGGTCTTACTCTACATTCTCAAAACATCCAAACAAAACAAAGTTGTCATATCCCAATAAACCATCATTAGATGGAAATTGTTCTAGCTAAAAGCAGTCCTATTAATTTGCACATACTGCATGATATCCGTTTATGATAGTGTGATAAAAACTTTGACCAGGTTTTCATTGAAATCTCTAATTGTGCAACCAATATGGAGTGTGATGCAACAAATGTAACAGATCCATCTTGTGTGTATTCACCATCTTCCTTTTACACATGAAGGTTTGAGAAAATGGTCTTCAATCTTGTACTTCACTTTATATGATAAACAGGGGCTACAAAAACATAGAAAAGTCGCAAACAATGAAATCTAGGGATGATCACCGCAGCAAACCAAGGAATCGATAACGTTATCTTCCTCTCTGACTGCTCAACGCTCATCCGAGCAATCACCTTGAAGGTTCAGATAAAGGAAATCTTCAGTATCTTAACGGATATTGATCGCCTCTCGTCTAACTTCGTTTCTATCATCTTCTTTCACATCTCGCGTTCTTTGAACAAAGATGCTGATTTCCTCGCTAAACAGGCCCTTAGGGCTTTCTCTCCTCATGCTTCTGCTTCTCGTGCTTTTGTTTTTTAGGCCTGTTTGCGGCCCAGACTCAGTTTTTTTAATATAATCGTTGTTCAAAAAAAATGAAATCTAGGGATATGTCAGAATTTCATGAACATACCCAGCAACTTCTGAAAAGTGTTAGATCTTAGGAACAAAGGATGGGGATGACAATGATGATCGAATTAATTAAAACAATATTAGTCCTTATGTATATGTTGAAATAATCACAACCTTTGGAATACACGTAGGAAACTAGTGAATACTGAATACATGGTAACAACAATCACATGTTCAGAGTATCAAGAATTCTCTTGTAGAATGAACAGATCTATATGCAATAAATGTTGTTTTCTTAAATAGGTAGGTATGTACATTTTTAATGAAGATAAAAAACACAATGCTCACATTTGTAACATTTTCGTCATGAAAAAGAAGAATAAATACTTTCAATACATGTTTTCATCATACAGCACATCAACTTCAAGTAAGAGTGTCGGAGAGATTTAAGTTTTATTTGTTCACAAGTTGATACTAACTTGTAATGTCAATATATTTATTACAGTAAATATTATTAAGTGATCTGAAATGCAGTGGTCATCAAATAAACAACAAAAATGATAATTATGAATAAATAAGTAAATTAAACTGTGGTGTGGAAGTGGAACATTTATCTGTTTGTAAACAACATAAATTAAAAAGGTACAACCGAAGTCAGAAATATAGTGATCTTGATCTTTTGCTAACATAGTCATGAACAATAACATAAAATGGAAAGAAGAGAAACATAATAACAAAACGAGTTTGTGGATATAACTAATTAATAATGTGTTAAATAAAGGTATTGGATGCATACAAGTATACAAACATAAAGTATTACAGTTTTTCTCAGCTTTATCATCTATAGTATACATATTACATATATTTCATATACTGATTAAAAGGGGATCATGTCACATATACATCATTTAGTAAATTTAATATAATTTGACAAATATTAATATGTAATAAACAAGCTATGAAAACTTAGAAATCCAGCTGATATAATCAAGTTATTTGATTAAACTAATTAGTAATGAATTGTTAATAGTTAACGGGAGTGGAAATGTCTAGGAAAATTTGATGAAATGACCAAAACTGAAATATATGAGATTGTGTAACCCTTGTGCAATTTGTTTTCTTATTTTGTATTATTTCGTTTAAGAGTATTATATTCAATTTGCGTGTAGGAGTAACAAAGCTTCTTACACAGAGTTTTGTAAAGTCTATGATCCGACAAAACACTGTAAAAAAAAAAATGAAAGTGAAGAGAATGTCTCTAGATCTACTGTGGGTAGACATCCAAGGTTGGAAAGGTTGAAGTTGAGCGTGAGTCTAACCAGACTGAAGAACCCCCGAGCCCTCAAGGGAAAGTAGTCGAAGGAAGTATTTCTAATTAAGGGTGAGGGGCATCTAACGGACCCGGTAGAAGTAACGCCAAACCCGGCTCACCTCAGCACAAAGACTAGCTGCCGAAGGAGGTACTCGGTCGAAAACCTCCGTCAGCATGTCCTCGGGAAGATCCACAACACGTGTTTGGAAAAAAAATATTAAACATATATTGTACCTATGAGGTTTTGAACATGGACTAGGAAAGTTATTGCAATGCGCAAAATACCACTAAGCTACTTCACTACTTTGATGTTAATTAATACAAGTTTTTTATTTTGTTGTTTTTTGTTTAAATACTTTAATCTTTAGTCCTCGGCAATATTAATACTAAAATGCTATGTGAAATAGATATTTCTTCTCAAGTTGATGAAAAGATTACAAATGTTCGGTACTCAGCAAAGTTAATGAAATATAGTTTAACTAACTTTTTATTCTTTTTAACCCATCAAGAAACTAACCTTTTAAATTGTTATACTTACAAAATAATAGTTATAAATCATTTGTTACTGTTTAAACACCAAGTACATATAAAGTTTTTTCACGCAAAAATTAAATAATTCTCTAACTACAAAATGTGGAAAAAAAAGTTTTGAGTCTTGTTTGCTGCCAATACGACCAAATTTTTTAGTTTACTCAAAACCTTATTTAGAAGTTAATGATGTAATGAATCTTAGTCTCAACACAAGTTAATATTAAAATGTTGTGTGAAATATGGTTTCTTTAGATGTTAGAATTAAACGTAATCGACATGCATACATAATACTGATAACACTAAAAGTAACCTAATGTATCATAATTTGATGAAATAACGAGTTGCATGAACAACAGTAAAATGGAAGGAATATATGTATTTTGAGTAGATTTTTTTGGGATTACTACGCCTCTTTAATCAAATACTAAAAGTAATATCTCTCTAAGATGAATTGTTGCCAAAAGGCCAAAAACTAACAGACATTACATTTTAAAGAGGTTCTTGGTACTGACCCAATTTTATTTCTACGAACTTTATACTGCATGATTCTCGTTTACTAATAATTTGAAATATAGTTTGTACTCGTTTTGTAGTTCAAAAAAAAAGGTGTACTCGTTTATCTCATTTTTCTTTCTCCCACGGCATGTTATCTATACCATCCTCTCTTTTCCAGTTAGCCTAATGCCTACATATATATTGGGCTGTAGTAATAGTTTTTCATTGTTATTATTTTTCTAATTTAATTCTTACAGTTGCATTAGTTTTAATTACATCAAAAAGATTTACATACAAAATTCTTTAGTCAAATTTTTACAACTACACCCCAACCAATCCTCCTAATATTTATTTTCAAAACACTTGCCTTCTTATTTGTCCTTGCATTCAGCATTTTCTAAAATTGATTCAAACTTTTAATTGTAAATCAATTATCCATTCAATAAAGCTACTGGCTATAGTACTATATATATATTTTATTGAATTTCAAGTTTGTAACTTTTTACCGTTACATAATATTGAGTGGATTAACAAAAACCTTTTGATGAATTCTTCAAACATCTATTTCCTTCATGTGTAATGAATCGTTACCCCTTAAGGCAGAAGTAAATAGCTGTGCAAGAACTCAAAATGTAAAACAATAAAAAAAAAATGAGAAAAGCCAATGGAGGCTTTGTTTCTTCTCATAGTAAGACTGATCAAAAGGAGAGAGAGGTAAAAAAACGTGAGCAAGAATATCTGGAGGGTAAAATCCTCAAAGAAAAGGCCAATGACGAATGAATAAGTAGAGAAAAAATGATTGTTTAGAGATGATCACATATGGCGTTTGTGAACTCTGTAGTGGTTGAGGTACCTCCAAGATCAGCGGTTCTATACTTTCCCTCGGCTATTGTGTTGATGATGGCGCTGTGGATTTGCTCTGCTTGTTTGTTGAGCTTCAGATGCCGCAACATCATTACTCCACTCAGAAGCAAAGCTGTTGGGTTCGCCAAGTTCTATACAACACCACCAAAAAAAAAAAAGAGTAAAACATTTAGACCATAAATCAGTAATAGGCTGATAATATTTAAACTCATTGTGCATGCAGATTAGACTCGTTCACCATAGTTCTAGTTTAGGAAGTTATTAACATTGTTCAAAAGTATTTACAAGCTTGATGATCCAACAAGACCCGTTCTACAATAGGAACTAGACCAAGATCCAGCCTACATTGAAATTCTAAGCATATAAATATTCTACAAGATGAATAATCTCTCAGAAGCAGCTTATTATCAAACACTGTTTTAGAGTAATAGTCAGATTTGAGTTCACTTCAATTATACATGTGTCATACAAACTTAGTATGAACATAAAATATGAGAATAATGCTGCTTAGAGGACTAACCTTTCCAGCAATATCTGGTGCAGAGCCGTGAACAGCTTCAGCAAGGGCAATACCATCCTCCCCAATATTACAACTGCATCAAAACATAATCAGAGCTCAATAAAAATTGCCTTACTATTATCTATGCTAAATAAAAATATTTTGTGAGATGAATAAACAAACGTTACCTTGGAGTCAGTCCTAGTCCCCCAACTAGTCCAGCACACAAATCGCTTATAATATCTCCATAAAGATTTGGCATCACCAACACATCAAACAGTGCTGGGTTTTTCACAAGCTGCCATATTAAGAATATCAATCTATTGACACCTCTACACAATTCAGAACAAATGGTAAGGAAAAAAAAAACATGTTGTTGCTTACCATCATACAGCAATTGTCAATAACAACCTTCTCGTATTCTATCTCAGGATACTTCTCAGCCACCTCATCACAGCACTGAAGAAAACAAGAACCAAATTATCACCTTGTTACAAAACAATGCCTTAAAAAGAAGCATATACCTGGAGGAAAAGACCATCAGTTTTCTGCATAATGTTGGCCTTATGAATAGCAGAAACTTTTTTCCTTCCATGAGTCTTAGCATAGAGAAAAGCATACTCAGCAACTCTCATACTCGCCTTACGTGTAATAATCTTAATACTTTCCACCACACCCTTAACAACCTACCAAATCAAAAATTGAAAAAAAAAAATCATCAGCAATATTCTTTAAAAAAAATATATATTTACTCAAAAAGAATAACCTGGTGTTCAAGCCCACTGTACTCTCCTTCAGTATTCTCACGAATAGTAATAAGATCAACGTCATCATAACGTGTCTTATACCCAGGAAGACTATAACAAGGCCTAACATTAGCATAAAGATTCAGCTCCTTCCTAAGCGTAAGGTTCAAGGAACGGTGACCTTTCCCAATAGGAGTAGCCATAGGTCCTTTTAAACCAACCTTGTTATCAAGCACAGATTGTAGACTCTCCCATGTCAAGAAACTATTGGTTCTCGGATCCACTTCAGTTGCAACATAATGTTCGTCCCATTCAATTGCCACGTCAGCAGCAGTAAACACCTGGATCATTATAAAGGACCAAACTTTTTTATTTTTTTTCAGACATCATCAGACCAAAGTGTTAAAAGCATCTAAACGAGAATCAAACTCGTTAAATGGTAAGGAACCCACGATGGGGATTTGAAAAAGGAACCTGTTTGACGGATTCGGCGATCTCGGGACCGATACCGTCGCCGGGGAAGAGGGTTGCTTTGATCGGAGTGGTGGAGGAGGAGGAGAAGGGTCTGGCGGCGGAAATGAGGGTAGAGGAGGCGAGAAGGCGTCTCGCGAGAAATGCTGCCATGGTCATCGCGGCTTAAGGGAAGAGGAAGAGAGAGGACAGAGGAGACTTTTGTGCTGCGTTGAATTAGAAAAAAGTTGTATTTATACTTTATTTTCTCTCCAGCGAGGAGAGAGAGGAGAAGAGAATGTTTCTTTCAAACGCCTTGTAGTTTTGAGAAAAAGTCAACTGAATTTAAAACGGCACAAAGTAAGTCTCTAAAAATAGTCAACGCCACGCAGTATAGGATTAAACCAATCCGGTTATCGCATTTAACGCGTTGTAGTTTTTTAGTATCAAACCAATCCGGTTATTAGAATTTTAATAACCGGTCAGATCAAACTCCCAGTATATATATATCACAACAAAGCGAAAGAGTATCAATCACTCAAAGGAACCTGCTGTATCAAAAAGGTATTCTTATATCATATGTTTAGCTCTTAGATCTAGAGCCGGTTATGGGCCCAAGCAAAAAAGTATGGGCTTCCGGCCCAAGTAAATATCAAAATAAATGGTCATATTTTGTCAAAAGTTGTATTTAGTGTAGTAGTTAAACAACTTGTCTTTTCTGCACCATGAACCATGGTTCGAACCTTGTGGCCAACATTTGGCCATTTTTTTTATTTTCTAGCCTATAGAATCCTAGGACCGGCACTGCTTAGATCTTGCGCTTTCAATACTATGAGTGGCAAAGTAAGTCTCTAAAAATAGTAAACGTCATGCAGTCTAGAATTAAACCAATCCGGTTATCAGCGTCACGCAGTCTAGGATTAAACCAATCCGGTTACTGGATTTTAACGCCTTGTAGTGTTAAGAGAGTCATCTTAATTTAAAAACGCCATAGAGTAAGTGTCCAGAACTAATAAACGACATGCAGTCTAGTATCGAACCAATCCGGTTATCAGAATTTTAATAACCGGTTAGATCAAACTCCCAGTATATAAATCACAACAAAGTAAAAAGAGTATCCATCACTCAAAGGAATCTGCTCTCTCTCGCGAAAAAGGTATTTCGATTTCGTCTGTTTTAGCTCTTTAGATCCTTCGCTTTCGATACTTGAATCTGATTCCAGTATATCCGTTTTTCATTGCTTCTTCTCCGATTCGTTGATCGTTTGTGTGTTTAATCACACTCTCACTCTTGGATCACGATAATCGATTAAAATTACGCCCCCAGATCTTCAATCGTATTTGTTATTGTTTCTTGGTGTGTAATTGGTACATTGTAGAGATCTGTGCTGAGTTTTGTGAATTGGAGTTTTGTGTGGATCTTTTGCTTAGTGATTTGTATGTATCGATCCTTTCATGATTCTTAGTTTTTCTAATCGATCATTTATTTGTACACTCTATTTTACTCTGTGTGATTCTCTGGTTTGAGCTTATAATGTCACAAACGTTGTGAAATTGCTGTGTTAAGATATTAGTGTGTGTTTATCATTTTTCTTCTCGTGTGTGAGAGCTTTAACCATAAACGTAACTGCAATCACTGTTTTAAAATGAATGTGTGCAATTGATTTATAAATTTTAGTCAAGGGAGATTTGATTGGTTTGATGAATTGCTCAAAAGATTTGGTTTTGTGTGTTGTAGAGGCGATAACTCAGGCTTAACAACAATGTCAGGCATTCACGGGACTCATGTAAGTGCATCTGCTTTATATCTAATCTCATAGAAGATTCTCTTAGTGATTCTATCTGCTAAAGCCTCTATTTTTTATCCTTGTCTCTGGTTCTACTTTTGTGTATATGATGTGCTTAGAATAGGCATTAATAACGCTTTTTGTGGAGTTCTTTAGATGCTCGGCGTCAGGATCTTTTTTTTTTGCTGTAACTTGAAATACTGAGTGTTGGTTTTTTACATTGAATAGGATTCTTGTCCTTTGGTGAAGAATATTCTTCTTCTTGACTCTGAAGGGAAGCGTGTGGCTGTCAAGTATTACTCTGATGACTGGGCAACTAATGCTGCCAAGTTGAGTTTTGAGAAGTACGTATTCTCTAAGACCTCTAAGACCAATGCTCGCACTGAAGGTAAGACCACAGACATGAGATTCATTTAAACAGTTTCTTTCATTGGTTCTGTATTGGTCATTTGGTTTCCTGATTTTGTATATACATATACTGTCTGTCTTAATCGCTTATAGATGTGTGTAATGTTTGGGTTTGACATTTTGTGCAGCTGAGATCACACTCTTGGACAGTAATATTATTGTCTATAAGTTCGCCCAGGACCTTCACTTCTTTGTTACTGGAGGCGATAATGAAAACGAGCTCGTCTTATCCTCTGTTCTTCAAGGCTTTTTTGATGCTGTTGCACTCCTTCTAAGGTATTTGCTCCCTTATTTTTTGATCAACGATCTCAACAGTTAACGTTTGCCGCTTCCCCTTTTCCGTACCAGGAACAATGTGGAAAAGATGGAAGCCCTTGAGAACTTGGATCTCATCTTCCTGTGCCTCGATGAAATGGTCGATCAGGGGTATGCAAGTCTAATATATTATCCTAACACGACTTCTATATGGGAGTCTAAAAGCTTCGTAAAGATTGGCTGATGTTTTTTTGAGTTTGTCCTATATATCTTAGCATTTAGCTATTGTGTAACTATGGCTTGGGGAATGTGTTCAGGGTGGTTCTTGAAACAGACCCGAACGTCATTGCGGGGAAAGTAGCAATGCAGAGCACAGAAGCTAGTGGTTCACTCTCTGAACAGGTGCTGACTATTACAGCTTCCTTTATAGTCTTTAATTTAGGATCAGTTTAGTTGTGGTTTGGCTAAACTTAAAACGAGGCATTTCTAATTTGTTTTTTACATGTTGTGATTGCAGACACTAACTCAAGCACTGGCAACAGCTCGGGAACATCTTGCTAGAAGTTTGCTTACATGAGAGTTTTCATCATATGCAAAATACTGTTATGGAATTTGTCTCATAACGGGTGAGAGTCTTCTAATAATTCAAACACTTTGCTTACGTCGTTTCTGCATACTTAATCTGGAGTTTGGGGTATTATATAGCTGCGTGTTCAATGCTGAATTTTTTTTCCAAGACTGGATATTGCAGAACCAAGAATTTTATAAAATCTTGATTCGTATTACGTTCTTGAGTATATATTTTATTGAACTTTTCTAGTAACGACAATCTGTAAAACAACCAACGCTTTAAAATAAGGTCAAATCGAGTAGCAGACATAATGGTGGTGGTTACTGCATTTATCACTCCAAGGCAAGCTTTTTGGCGTTATATGCACTAAAGCCGCCGAACAAATCATCTACTCAATAATTTAACACCAAGAAATGAATAGTATTAGTATATGCTGCCAAATGACGGTGAGCTTTCAAACTTTTTTAAAACTTGTTCTAAAGCACAAAGAAATTTGACATGGATTAGATCTTGCTGTCCCCCTCAAGACGCGATTCGTTAGATTTTCTCTTTATTTGATTTTTTCTTTTGGCCCCATTATTATCAACTCGTATATGTCTTTTTTTGTGGAAAATTTACATGCATGAATGTGTAAATGGTTAAGTTACAGTTTATATATTAGTCAGTCGTCAACGTAAGCTTTAGCACACAAATATTCTAGAGATCCAACGAATCCAATAAACAAAAAGATATTGTTTATTTGTTTTTGCTCATCCATTAGGACGCCACCCACGTTCTCTGTTCCTCAACCATCATCAACCACTGTCAAATGTCAGCTTATGGCCACTCTTCTCTTTCAGTTCATGAACTTCCCCTCCAATGGAAACTCATCTCTTTCTCCTCTTTCTCTCACTCATCCTCCTGTTCTTATCCAAACCCGGATCCGGATTCGGATCCTCCGGGCCTATTGCTGCCTCCTTCGGAGGCAGCTCTGCTTTCTTCTGTGCTATTGACGCTAGTGGTCGTCAAGAAGTTATCTGCTGGGGCAAAAACTACTCATCTCCTTCTTCTTCTTCTCCATCCTCCTCTTCTTCAACTTCCCAAAGCTACAACATTCCCTCCATGGCCGTTCTCTCAGGTGGAAACGGGTTTCTCTGCGGTGTCTTGTCAAACACATCTCAACCCTTTTGTTTCAGTTCACTTGGTTCCTCTTCAGGTATGGATCTTGTCCCTATCTCTTACAGGACTACTGCTTACTCTCAGATCGCTGCTGGAAACAGTCATGTCTGTGCAGTCAGAGGAGCTTACTATTCAGACCACGACTCTGGAACCGTAGACTGTTGGGAGATAACAAGAACTAAAAACAACACTTTGGTCGGTAAAGAGAGTCCTAACTTCTACGATCAGGATGTTAGTAATCTTGTCTTCAACAAGATTGTCTCTGGTGATGGGTTTAGCTGTGGTGGAATCAGAGAAGGAGGGATCCTCTGTTTTGGTCCAAAGGTTTCTACTTTAGGGCTTAACTCATCTTCAGACAACTTCGAAGTCTTATCCGCTGGAAAAAGCTCTGTCTGTGCGATTCTAAACTCATCTCGTGAGGTTAAATGTTGGGGAGATGAAGACTCTTTTGTTAACTCACCATCTGATGAGTCTAGCTTCGTTGCGTTAGCATCTGGTCCTAACCATTACTGTGGTATCCGTGAAGATACTCACGAGGTTGAGTGTTGGGGTAACGCTAACTTCTCGTTGATACCTAAAGCTTCTGGCTTCAAGGCAATAGCTTCATCTGATTCCATCGTTTGTGGTATAAGAGAAGAGGATCTTGTTCTTGATTGCTTCATGGTTAACGGGTCTTCGACACTGGCCTACGATCCTCCTTTAGAGCTTTGTAGTCCAGGGATCTGTAGAACTGGTCCTTGCGAAGAAAAAGAGTTTGCTTACAACGCAAGTAACCTCAACGAACCTGACCTAACGAGTTTATGCGTGAGGAAAGAGTTAACGCTCTGTTCTCCTTGCGGCTCGGATTGCTCCAAGGGATTCTTCTTGTCGAGTTCGTGCACCGAGAACTCTGATCGAGTATGCACGTCGTGCTCGCTATGTCAGAACAGTTCTTGTTCTGACATTTGTAAGGTTCATAACCACGACGATTCTTCAGACAAACATTGGAATCAGATACAGAGACTTGTGCTCGTCATAGGCTCTTGCGCGTCGGCTTTACTGATTATCATAATCTGTTGCTGCGTCGTGCCACGGTTTTTCATTAGTCCTAACAAAGAAGACGGATTCAAATCTTGCATAGGGAAGACCGATCTAGACACGGAGCCGCTTGAAATGATCTCCACTGCTCCATCGGTAACACCTTTCGCGCAAGTGTTTAGACTCTCCGAGCTTAAAGACGCAACCAACGGGTTTAAAGAGTTCAACGAGTTAGGCAGAGGAAGCTACGGGTTCGTCTACAAAGCCGTGTTAGCTGACGGGAGACAAGTCGCCGTCAAAAGAGCAAACGCATCTACCATAATCCACACGAACGCTAGAGAGTTCGAAGCAGAGTTAGAGATTCTATGTAACATTAGGCATAGCAACATTGTGAATCTACTCGGTTACTCGACTGAGATGGGAGAGAGGCTTCTTGTTTACGAGTACATGCCTCACGGTACGCTTCACGATCATCTACACGGCGGGTTTTCGCCGTTGTGTTGGAGTTTAAGGGTTAGAATCGCTATGCAAATTGCAAAAGGTCTTGAGTATCTTCACGTTGAAGCTGAGCCTAGGATTGTTCATGGAGATGTGAAGTCTTCGAACGTGCTTTTGGACTCGGAGTGGGTGGCTAGAGTTGCGGATTTTGGGCTTGTGACATCGTCTAATGATAAGAGTTTGGACATTAAAAGAGATGTTTATGACTTTGGGGTTGTGTTGTTGGAGATTTTGACCGGGAGGAAAAGTTATGATAGGGATTGTGATCCTCCGGAGATTGTTGAATGGGCGGTTCCGGTGATTAGAGACGGCAAAGCGGTGGAGATTGTGGATAGATATATTGCGTTGCCGAGAAATGTTGAGCCGTTGTTGAAACTTGCTGACGTGGCGGAGTTGTGTGTGAGGGAGGATCCGAGTCAACGACCAACCATGTCGGAACTTGTGAACTTGTTGGATGGACTGATCTTGTAGTTTTTTTTTTTTTTGGTTATTTTTGGGGTGTGAGTGTTGTGTATTCTTTTATATCTGAAATTTCAATTGTAAAATCAAATATTCATACACAATTTGTGAAAAATAATTAATGTATTCAACTAGATAATAGTGTTATTGCAAATTATATGAAAAACATTAGACTGCATTTTAACAAAAGAAAAAGTGATTATATGAATTAGATAGTTTAAACAATGACTGAGAATTTTTGAGCACAGCATATAAGACCTTAATCCCATATGAGCTTGAGATCAGTGTGGCTTGGAGGAGACAGCCAAAGCCTCGATACCTGAGCCAGGATGTTCATAGCCACTTCTTCTGGCAAAGAGCATAACCCACACACCTTCGTCTCCTTCTTCTGTCTTATCGTGAGATGGCGTCACAACCAATTGACCAATCTCCACAAATCTTCTTTTCATTGATATTTTTGTACAATGCGTTGAAGCAAGTAGATATAATTTCATTAGTTAGGTTTTGACATGATATGCATGACTATATCCCCTATATATTAATTGAGAAACATTTGAAAAGATGTAACCTCAAGTTTGTATTAATTAAAAAGTAACCTTGCTTAGTTGTCAATCAATTAGCATATCAATTAAACTGACGTGGTGGCTTTAGGTTCAATTGAAATTTGCTAGGAAAAAATAATTAGAGACGCATATAACGCATGTAACATAGTTTATATATTTATATATATCGCACGCATGTAATGGAAGAAAAGGAAAATATACGATTTGATAACGATTTGCATATATTAACTATAATAACTTCATTCCTTTTAATTTATGGAAGTGTATATGTAAAATGAAAAATACTTAAATTCAAATAATCATAACGTAATTTATAAATCATTGGTGTAAAGTTTTATTACACAAATATGCAAATAATCATAAAATCATATGAGTAGAAACCTCATTTAATAAATATCCATATTAAAAGTGTGCTATATTACTATGTTTATATCATTTAAATTTAATTATATATCATATACAATATATAAGATTGAT